TGATTCTTTTCACACTTCTAAGCTGAGGCAGTGGCATATGCAATGATGTGAACCCTTTTATGCTGAGGCAGCGGCGATGATGATCGAGTGCCCCCACTAAACTAGGATGGCTTGTATACCAGATACAAGCAACCAGTTTAAAAGCTATGTGATGACAATGGGGCAAATCTGAGCCAACTACTACTACTTTACTACTCTACTCTACTCTACTCTCACCTCCTCTAGTCTTCTACTCTATCTTGATGGCCGAAGGCCACCCTTTGGGGCTGAATTTTGAAACTATCTTGATGGCTTTTGTTTGGTATTTGCAATGATGATTCTTTTCACACTTCTAAGCTGAGGCAGTGGCATATGCAATGATGTGAACCCTTTTATGCTGAGGCAGCGGTGATGATGATCGAGTGCCCCCGCTAAACTAGGATGGCTTGTATACCAGATACAAGCAACCAGTTTAAAAGTGATGTGATGACAATGGGGCAAATCTGAGCCAACTACTACTACTTTACTACTCTAGTACTACTCTACTTTACTACTCTAGTACTACTCTACTTTACTACTCTATAACTGTGTCTATACAACTGAAATATGTATTCATTGTAGCTTTCCAATGGCGGAGGAACCGATAAGCGAATGGCGCGACCCTACCCCTAGTGCATCATCATCAACTAGCCTCGAGAGCCAAGTGTCCGTGACCCCGAGGCCAACAAAGAAACGTCGTACAGAGGACGAAGATGATCCGACCTACCAACCGAGGGACGACGAAGTTGAAAGTGCGCGGTCTCCAAACCCTGAACAGATGCCGGTGGTGCCTCGAGAATTGAATTTCGAGGAGGAACAAGTCAGTGACAAAGAACCCCCCGCTCCATCTCCAACCACTTCAGGCAAGTCTAGTGGTCAGAGGACAAAGCTGAGAAGGGGGGAACACGGGAGGCACCGGAGGGAAATCCACGGCGAAGTCCATGTGATCCATGAGGTGGGACCAGAGGGAAACCCGTTGTCGCCACCCACGGTCCTTGCCAAGTTCAGCAACCAGGTGGCATGTATAGTCAAGGACAAGGTGGAGATCACTTGGGAGGAGTGGAACAATGTCCCGGTCGACTACAAGACACATATCTGGGGTGAGGTGACAAGGAGCTTCCATTATTCCGAGGACGCCGATCTGAACAAGTGCAGGGAGTGGGTCATGCACGTGGCAGGAAGAGCCTTTAGAAACTTCAAGCCCATGCTGACCAGGTACTACCTGAAGCTAGGCAAGTCACCCTGTGTCAAATACACTATGGTGAAGGAACATCACTGGGAAGAGTTCTGCAAACAAAGAACAACAGAAGAAGCAAAGGCAAAGAGCGCCAAGTTCAGCGCACTCACGAAGAAGAACCTGCACCCCCACCACTTGGGCATGACTGGGTTTGCTGGTAAGAGGCCCCAGTGGCGGGAGGAAGAAAGGGCTAGAGCTGCCACAGGGCTTCCCGATCCGTACAACGGTGTAGACTTGAGGGCTAAGGACTTCATCTATGCCCGCAAGCCGAAGAAGCTCAAGGAGGGTGCGAGCAAGTTCAATGAGCCCAAGTTCGAGGAGGTGGAGAGGGCTCTCATCGAGGCCGCTAAATCCAAGGACAACTTCGAGGTTCGCAGGGGCCAGGACTTGCTGACCCTGGCGCTGGGAACCCCCGAGCACCGTGGCCGCGTCCATGGCATGTCGTCGAAGATGAGCTGGAACTCAGTGGAGTCATGGCAATCCGACGCTGCAACATACCGGTCAAGGCAGAGGTACAAGGAGGGCATCTTTCAGAAGGGCTATGATCAAGGCGTGGCCGAAATGATCAGCCGGTCCATAAAAGAAGCCTTCACGAGCAATCCCAGATATGGTGTCGATGAGGTCACAGATGCTTCGCTAGGGCGGCGTGGCCATGCCTCAAGTTCCACAAGGGAAGACACAAGGGCAGCCACTGCCGATGATCGAGGATCGCCTAAGGCACCCCGTCGACGACATCCGGGAACCCATGCGTGTCCACCTCAACATCCCGTTCGGCAGGGCGAAAAAGTTGACCGTGGGTGAGGGTTACATGCACCCCAAAGAAGATATCAAAGATTTCAACCAAGACCAGATCCCTGCCAACTATGCTGCCGTGATACTTACATGGTATGCGACCCAATACGAAGAATTTGAAATGGAATATCCAACTGCAGAAGGGGTAACGATCCTTGGAGCTGCCATTGGTTCCGAAGTCCTGTGGAACAAGGATGACATAGAGATCATTCTCTCGACGCCGACTTCTACGCCGATGGCGACACCAGCATCACAACCATCCGTTGCCGGACCTTGTCCCCCCGATGATCCGGATCACGGCGACGGCGATGACGAAGGCAATGGCGGGGATGACAAGGGAAGGAAGTCACCCCGAGGCACAAGCCCTCACCCTCGTTCTCCTCCTCCAACAACAAGTCCACCTCCACCTCCCGACAGTCCGTCTAAGGGCACAAGCAAAGGACCGGGAGGCACGGAGGAACCGGGGGCAAAGACACCGCCTGCTGCCATTGCGAGCACAAGCCACTATCCTCCACCACCGGTGAAGACTAAAGGCGACCAAGGGCAGCTCACATACTCACTTGAGTTCGAAAGGTATGGTAGCGGCGAGCATAATTTGCTAATAACTTTTCTTTGCCATAATATGGTACTAACATTTCTATCCCAGGCCGAGATCACCTTTCCATCTATTTCCTGAATCGGATGACTGCCCCGGCCATTACGAGCATGGGAAGTTCATGATAACCAAGGCCCAGCTCGTCGACGAGGAAAGGTGGGAGACAATGAGGTTTCATCTCTGGTACATGGAAGCGGCAAAAGCTGGCCTGCATGGTTTTCTAGTCAAGGTTGTGGCGGAGTACTTCCACTTGCCCGGCAATGATGTAGAACTCCACGTGGACTTCCACGACATGTACAGACTACTACGGGAACAAGACCTTGACACCGCCCAAGTCACCTTGTTCTCTATGTAAGTGATGAATTGCGAGTTTCACATATCACCTGTCTTTGAATCGGTCAAGACTACTTATATATACCACGATGGCTTGTCCTTGCAGGTTGATGGCCTATATATCCAAGGAACTAAAACTTGATGTTATCTATCTATCTCCAATGCATATTGCTCAAAGAGTCATCATTGGTTACCAGCTAGATGACAATCATCCAACCATGAAAGACTTGACCAAGCCACAGAGAGAGGCGCACAGGAAGAAACTGATGGACAATGAGAAGTTGAACATTTCAAGGTACATACTAGGAGCAATGAAGAAGATCAGGAGAAATGGGTGTATCGTAGCTGCCTACCACTTTGGGTAAGTCGAAGACATGCCTGTAGAGATAAATGGGTAGCTAGCTAGTATTATTATTTCTCGTCGTAACCTGTATTTTGTTTCAATGGCGCAGCCAAGGCCTCGAGGGTCACTGGGTTGCATTTATCATCTACCCTCAGGATGGCAGGGCCTGCGTATTTGATTCGTTGAGAGTGCCAAACTTAAAAGGGTACAAGGCCTTTGAAGATTGCCTCAGAGTGTAATTGACTGAACTGTCTTCTCATATGCGTTCTAATACCCTGCCTAATACTAGTACATTTCATATAGCGCTTATAAGGAGTACGTGAAGGATCCTGAATGCTATGATCGAAGAACAGAGAATTTTAAGGCTAAGCATAAGAACCGCATCAAAATCAGACGCAACTTTCCGGTAAGTATTTGAAAGGTTTAATTGTGCTTTCCGTTCATAAGCGTTCTAATGCCTGTGTTGTAATGCTTGTGTATCGATCATGTAGTGTGCCAAACAACCGGTAGGATCACAAACCTGTGGCTTCTACATCTGTGAGTACCTGAGGGAGTGCAAGCAGTACAGTAGCAGTTGGAGGGTGCTCAAGAATGGATTGAACTGGTGGAGAGACGTGCAGAGCACCCAACACTCCTTCAAGCAGACAAAGGCGGACATATGTAAGTTTGTCTTAGACAAATGCGTGCTTGAAGGGAGCACGTTCTTCAATGAGAACAGACAGCTAGCGATTTTACCGGAGTACGAGAGGCTGAGGAAATGGTCCACGATGATGCGTCCGCAGGATTACTCCTTAGGGCATGTATAACGACTTTAATATGTAAATGTAATGAATTAACGATGACAAGAACGACTAAGTGAATGTATATATATGTATATTATCTCATGTGTAATGCCTGCATACTTTTTAAGTTTAATCTGTGAAATCTGGATTTGATTTGAATTTGAATTTGAATTTGAATTTATATGCCTGCTGTATTTTTTTTTAATTCAGGAAATAATTTACCGAGGCGGGCAAATAATAATGCCCGCCACGGATAATGAACATAACCGCGGCGGGCCACAAAAGGTGTCCGCCGCGTTAAAATAATTTACCGCGGCGGGCGGTGCAACGTGACCGCCGTGGTAAAAGTATATTTAACGCGGCGGACACGTTACACCGCCCGCCGCAGGTAAATCGGTTAACCACGGCGGGCAAAGCCGCCCGCCGCGGTTAAGCCACGATTTACCGTGGCCTCTAGGCCACGACGGACGGCTTTGCCCGCCGCGGGAAATCGAAAACGCCCGCCTCCAATAAAGTTTCTGTAGTAGTGTCACATGAATGTATGGCATTAAGAAATCTAAGTGATTTGACCAAATAATTCAGGTGATCAAAACCCACGGATCACCAAAGTGTTGTATATATCCACAGATTTAGTAGGTGCTGTTTGGTTCAAACGGAATGGCAATGTAATCAACTGTCGGCGTTACCGGTTTCCATGGGAACTAAAAGCGCGATTTGTTTGGTTCCTGTGGAACCGTGGCACCGTTGGTGGCATACAGCGCCTTCACGTTCACGAGGGGCCGGTGGCCTTCACCAGAAAATTTGGCATGTTCTTTTAATATAAAAAAAGTATCTGAAGTTTCAATTCTGTTGCCACGGTATTACAGATTTACAGCTTATCCCGTGGTCAAGTGTAAGGCGTCAAGATCCCATTATTGTTCCATTGCCACCACTCGTCATCGTCGTCGTCCACAGGTTCGCCACAACTGGTGCTGCCATCAGATGCTGGAACGGGTTCGCCGGCGGGGCTACGTCCACCTCTACCTCAAGCATCTTTGTCACCGCACTCATCGGCGGCCTTGCCTCCGGCAGTTGCTGCACGCACCAGAACGCCACCTTACACATCCTCTCCACAATCTCCTTGCTCTGCTCCTCCTGCTCGTCGTCACCTGCCACCGCAGCAGCAACACTACCACTGGTTCCATGGCTCGGTGCAACGATGAGCTCCGTGAGCTCACCCCTCTCGTACTTGGTCCACGCCAGCATGGGGAACCACCGCTGGCTCTCGGGCGCCGCCTCGTCGAAGTTCCGCCGCCTGCCGACGATCTCGAGCAAGAGCATGCCGAAGCTGTACACGTCGCACTTCTCCGTGACGCCCGACATCATCCACATCTCCGGCGCGGCGAACCCAGGCGTGCCTCGAATGCCAGACACGGAGACGTGCGTGTCCGCACGGCTCACCAGCCGGGCGAGCCCGAAGTCGGCGACCTTGGGCGTGAGCGCGCCGTCGAGGAGAACGTTCCCGGGCTTGATGTCGTAGTGCACGATCTTCTGCTGGCACTCCTCGTGCAGGTACCGGATGCCCCTCGCCACGCCGACGGCGATGTCGCGCAGCGCCGGGAGGCCGATGACGTCGCGGCCCTGGCCGGCGAGGTAGGCGTCCAGGGCGCCGTGCTCCATGTACTCGTACACCAGCGCGCGCATGGCATCGTCGAAGCAGAAGCCGAAGAGCCTGACGAGGTTCACATGGTGCGTCCGCCCAATGGTGCCCACCTCCGCCATGAACTGCGCCTCCTCGGTCTTCTGGTCAAGGCTGGCGTGGAAAACTTTGACCGCCACGGCAAGGCCGTTGGGGAGCGCGCGCTTGAACACCGTGCCGAAGCCGCCGGAGCCGAGCCGGGTGGAGTAGTTGCGCGTGAAGGCGGCGATCTGCCGCGGTGTAAACCTGAACGGCTTCTCATGCCTCATCTCCCAGAGGAACTTCTCCACGGTCGCGTGCCACATATGAACATTTATCTGTTATATTAGTATTTGCCAATAACTAAAAGAAAACCCATTACGTCTACGTTTAATTGAATGAATAAAATAAAAGAACTGTTACCTGATGATCAAAGGGAAAGATTCTTCCTGGGTCGCCATCGATGGCGGAGTAATGTCCATGTCACCGTCGAGCATCTTCACCACCACGCCCATGGGTGGCCTTCCATCCGGCTGCCGTTGCATGCACCAGAACGCTACCTTGCACATCCTCTCTACCGTCTCCTTGAGCTGCTGCAGATCATCGTCTTCTCCGGGGGCGACAACCAGGGCGTGGCCGTCGTCATGGTCAGCAGGAGGCGTGTCGTCCACTACGAGGTCCATGAGGTTGTGTCAGCACTCTGCCATCTCCAGAATATCAGAAGGAAGGAGCTGATGGGCCGCGCAGGAACGTCCGCGAGCGACGGCCGAACAAGAAGGTCCTTGGTGGCGAATGTGCACGAGAATTGGGCAAGGCCCCGTAAGAGCGAACTAGTACATCAGGATACAGTGAGAAGAGATCGGCATCCAGTTTGTAAAACCAAAACCTAATACTCTCTAATCATTCCTCGCCGCGCCACCTTGTTCCCCACGCTGCTGTTCGTCTTCTTCGATTCCCCCAATTTCTCCATTCCTTCCCCGATTGCTCCCTTCCCAAACTCCATCGCTGCTAACAGGTTACCACTCTCGTACTTTGTCCACGTCACCCTGGGGAACCACTGCTGCTGCAGCTGGCTGCTCTCCTCGTCCAAGTTCCTCCTCCTCCCCCGGTCGAGGGAGAGGTCGAGGATCTGAAGCACAAGCATGCCGAAGCTGTACACGTCGAGCTTGTCCGCGAGACCCGGCGGCTGCATGGACACCGCGGCGTGTGCCTCCCCGCCGCCGCGTCTCATGAGCTGCGCGAGCCCGAAGTCGGCGACCTTGGCCGTGAGCCCGTCGTCGAGGAGCACGTTGCCGGGCTTGATGTCGTAGTGCACCATCTTAAGCTGGCACCCATCGTGGAGGTACTAGATACCCCTGGCGACGCCGAGGGCGAGTGACTGAAGAAGATTAAGGTCGGGGCGGAGGCCGCCGTTGGGGTCGTCGCGGCCCCGACAGTCCACGAGGAAGGTGTCGAGCGCGCCGTGTTCCATGTACTCACACACCATTGCGCGCACGGTGGCGGCACCGTCGGAAGAGGTGTCGTCGTCGAGGTGGAAGCAGTAGCCAACGAGCCTGACGAGGTTGGTGTGCCGGGCCCGCCCGTCGGCGACGAACTCCGCCTCGGACCTCCAGTCGACGCCAGCGTGGAGCTTCTTGACCGCCATCTTGAGGCCGTTGGGGAGCGTGCCCGCGTACACCGTGCCAAAGGCTCCGGCGCCGAGACGTGTGGAGTAGTTGTCGGTGTAGCGGGCCAGCTGCAGCCGGCTGAACCTTACGGGTTCCTTCCCATCGGCGATCTCCCGGATAATGTCATCGTCGCCCAGCCGGATGAATAGCCAAAAGAAAAACAAGACGAGCAGGACTCTAAATGCGATGGAAGCCACTGCAGCATGCAAGAGAAATCAACAGCGCAAAATTCAAATCAGCACGACAGCTTCTTCAGATCAGAGAATCAAAGATGCATGCATAGTAACCTGAAAAATTGAGGAGGTGAAAATAGCCCAGGCCCCCGCGTCGCTCTCCCGAGCGACTCGGGCGGCGCCTCCCATCCCCAGCCGCCGGGACCGCCCTCCCCGGCCTCTCGTCCTCGCCGCCGCCGGAGCAGGCTGCCGGATGCCCGTGCAGCTGCTAGGATGGCGGCGGCCGGGCCTTTCTCCTCCTCCTCCTCTCTCTTTCTCTGAGGATGGCGGCCATAATGCGACGGCCACCGCCGGATGGCGGTGACGGTGGCTTCCTCTTGGCCGCCGGAGCGCAGATCCGCTGCCTCGTCGCCCGGATCCGGCGAGCCAGGGGGCGGATTTGGCGAGTCTGAGTCCGGGTGCGTTGGTGGCATGGCTTCAGGCCGTGGAGGCACCTATACGTGCTGCGGCGGCGAGATGCTCGGTAGACCGGCCGGCGGTGCTTCCGTGCGACGGCCACAGTTCAGGTGGTAGCGGCGGCACGGAGGCAGCAGGAGGTCAGCGGCATGGAGGCCGCGGGTGTGCAGTGGCTGTGCGACGACGGTGCGGCAGCGCGATGGTGAGGTGGTGCGGCGTTGCGGCGTTGCGGCGGTGGTACAGCGGGAGCGCGACGGCTACGGAACAGCCTCGTGCGCCTGTGCGGGCGATGGCGTGGCTGCTTCGGCCGCCCTATGGGTGGCTGCGGCGGCCCTGTGCGCACAGAGGCGGTGGTGGTCCGGCGGCCCTATGCGCGTGGAGGCGGCAAAGCTGCGGCAGTTCGCCGGCGACGCCATGGTGGCATAGCCGGCCGAGGCTTGGTTGGGTGTGCTCCAGCGGCGCTGTGGTGGCGCTGGCTGGTGGTGGCCTGGCGATGGCACGCCCGCGGTGCCATGGTGGCGCGGCTGGCGGTGCCAGGATGGGATGGAGGCTGCAGATCCGCTGCCTCCAAGGACGGATCCGGTGGTCCTTGGGCCGGATATGCTCCGGTGGAGATCGCCGGCGGTGGCGATGCGCGGCGGGAGGTCATAGTCAGCGTGTCAGCGGCGGGAGACCATGGGCGATATGGCAGAGATGGTGTGGGTGACGCCGATGGTTGTGTGGAGGCCGGCGCGGGTGGCAGGAGCAAACAGCGTGTGCGGCATGGAGGCTCACGGATGGCGAGTGCCGCACGGAGGCGGCGAGGAGGCGGAAGCGGTGGACAGCCGGCGATGGCGGAGATGTTGTGGTGGAAGAAGCGGGTTGTGGCCAAGTCATGGATTCGAGGTGCAAGTGTTGGCTATGGCGGAAGGCGGCAGAGGGCATTCACGTAGTGATTCGGGCTTGGCTTCTATGTGGCCGTTGTTGGGCGACGGTTTTGGGACCGGGTGCCACGAGTGTCCGTGAAGTTGGCTAGGAGGCCGGCGCGGGAGTTGGGCCAGTAGAAGTGCAGTGTCTGATGATCTGTGTGATGTCTGATGGCAGCTAGAGGCCCTGCTTACTTTTCTGCCATCTTGATGAAGCGGCTTGGTTGCTAAATGCTACTGTGAGGGCAAATCTTGGGGGTGGCGGTCGGCTGGGCGACGACCAGAGGCAGTTGCTCGTGCTTTCGGCTTGGCGGCTTGCAGCGGACCACAGTGGCTAGCCTTGCATGGCAAGGGTTAGTCCGGTGCGAGACAGCGTCGACAGACGGCGCAAGCGGAGACGATGGCATGACGGCTACATGGCTTGCAGCGGATCATGGCGGTTAGCACTGCATGGCAGCGGCTGACTCGGTGTGGTACATCGTCGGTAACGACGGCGCAGGCGGTGACAATGGTGTGTCTTCATGTCGCGAGTCATCCTTTGTTGCTGTTCCATCGTGGCGGCCAGTTTGGTTTGGCGATGTTGCACGGCGTGTGTTGAGGTCTCCATCCAACCGGCCGTTGTCGATAGTTGAGCTAGTTGCTTTTTGTTGAGTTTTGTTGTTGTTGTTGTTAGTTGTTGTTTTCGTAGCTCTGTTGTACTGTCCAGTCTAGGTTATTCTTCTTTTTAATATAATCGGCAGCTCTCCTGCCTGATTCGTTTCAAAAAAAAAAAAGATGCATGCATGCGTGGATGCTCCCGCACCTACACCTACTTGAGTGACTTCTTGGCTCATCTCGGCGAGATTGGGTTGAGTAAGGTGCGCGCAATGCAAGAACTAACTTAACGACGACGGGCAGGCGGGCAGCTGTAGCTAAGGAGCAGCTATCAAGAATATGGCATCATCAGAGAATATAAGAACTTGGATGTATCACCCACGCACACTTAATTAACCTGCAGGAGCCAAAAACCAAGCCGCCAAAAAGTACGATGATGTCCATGTCCATAGGGACTAAACTTTAAACTTTAGGGGGACTAAACAAGGCCTTAGTTATATTCTCTTGATGATGCCATATTCTAGCTGCTCCTAGCTACAGCTGCCTGTCGTCGTTAAGTTCTTGCATTGTGCACGCCGCACTCTACCCGGCCTATCTCGCCAAGATGGATCAGTATGCAGTCGCTCTATTAGGTACGGTGCGCGCGCATGCATGCATCTTTGATTCTCTGATCTGAAGAATCTGTGTGCTGATCTTAATTTTTGGCTGTTGATTTCTCTTACATGCATGCAGTGGCTTCCATCATATTCACAGTCCTGCTCTTCTTGTTTTTCCATTCGCGGCGGGTGTACAT